GCGCGCGTGTGTGTGTGTGTGTGTGTGTGTGTGTGTGTGTACAGGGTGTCCCGTAAGTTTTGGCCAGTCGCTTTTGTGTAGATAGTGCGGATTAAACTGAGTCGAAAAATCTTTTACCATTTTGCAATTTTCGCGATAACAAAATATCAATTACTAAAAATCGCTGAATATTGATTTTCAATAAATTTTTACTCGTATACTATCAACTTTACAGAAAAACAACGAGAGACAAAAATTGTTTATTTTCTTCTTATAAAGTTCTGAAAATTTTTTCAAAATTTTTTCAGAATTTTTTAATACCACATTTTCTCATGTTAGTACAAATAAGAAAATGCAATACTAAAAAGTTGATAAAAAAATTTTGAAAAAAAAAATTCTTAGAATTCTATGAGAAGAAAATAAATGATTTTTGTCTCTTGCAGTGTTTCTGTAAAGTTGATAGTATTTGAGTAAAAAATTGTTCAAAATCAATATTTGGCAATTTTTCGTAATTAATATCTTGTTAACTATCGCGAAAATTGCAAAATGGTAGAGGATTTTTCGACTCAGTTTAGTTCGCTCTATTTACACAAAAGCGATTGGCCAAAATTTACGGAATATCTTGTAAATATAATATAATATTTTTTCCGACCCCTGGTTAAAATTTTTCTCAGAATTTTTTATATAATTTTTCAGAATTTCTATATATTTTATAACTTTCTCACATTTTTTATATAAATTGGAACATTTCTCAGAAAATCTACATCTTTCCTCAGAATTTTTCATATATGTTAATTATGGAATACCGTAAGATTTCTAAGATTTTTTGTAAATATATTTTCTGATGAAATGTTATAAGATCTAAATAATTTTTAAATATTTTTTTTAATTATATGATAAGAAATTTCAGAATATTTCAGAATTCACTTGTATAAAAAATTCTGAGAGAAGATGTAAACTTTATAAATATTTCTCAGTATTTCTGAAAAATGTTCCAATTCGTAAAAAAATTATGAGAAAAATTTTCACCGGGGGAATTAGAAAAAAGAAGATAAATGAAAACAAAAAAAAACAATAATATTGCAAAAGTAAAGAATTCGATAGCTATCGAATTATAAGTCAAAGTACGCGTTATACAAGAATAATCATCGTTAATGATAGTCATCGTTAATGATAATCATAATGTAATAAAAGTCATCTTTACTGTAGAAAAATAGGGGCTCTTAGAACATAGATTAATCATTTTGTGTAATTATAAACTGGATCGTATCACGTTTTATTTCCGGAATGGGATTCTGGTCAATGAGTTGTATAAGCCAGGAACGAAGTTCTCATCCGCGATGAATATTCAATAATATTCGAACAACTACGTTGGTAATACGTCATTCTTACGTATAATAATGAATGACTTGGCAGTTATTTATTAGCAATTACTTGAAACAATTTAAGATTAGAGAAACATTCAAGAGCAGTAAACTATTTATCCATAATTAATAACTCAATTAATTAATAACTAACACCTGATGTGTATTTTTATAAGTTATTCAGCGACAAATAGTTAATAAAAAATTATTTGAAAATTTACAATTAAAATATCTTTTATAAGAGCGCGTACGTTAATATATAATTGAATAAGAGTGTTATGAATGATGTCAGCAATAAGGGAACTCCCGATGAAGGAAAGAAAATTCTTCGGCTAGGTGTTTCCACCTGCGTCACACAGCTCACGAGAAACAGCTTCATCATGTTTCAGCCTTTTGTAACAGGTGCCAGGTAAAATTATCTGGCACTGACGAAATTGTTTTACAATCTTGATCTGTATTATGATTAATTTGCGTAAAAAATTAATTCTCCTAGATTTTATACATTATTCAATATGTATATTTATTGCTCAGTTTATGTATATGATAACGATATTATTAACAAATTTATCAAATAGTATATTTAAAACATTAGTTGATAAATATAATAGTTTATATAGTAGATTATAAATATAATAGTTTTCTAAAAACAACCTAAAAAACTAAAAAAATATATAGATAAGTACTGTACGTATTTATAACGAAATTTAAAAAAAAATTAGTATTTTATTAAAATAAAATATACATTAAATATTAAACAAAAGAAGATAAATGAAAAAAATATAAAATAGATACATTTCTCCAGTTTTTTAATTATTATTATTCGTTTATATAAAAGATATTAATATAAATAATAAGTAATAAATTGTTTTTATTGTCATATTATCAATAATAATATATACAGATGTTTTCTTTAATAATATATATATACATATAATAATTGATAAAAGAATTAATTACATGATCGACGCTGTAAATATATGGTTTGGCACGTGGCCATAAATTTTTAATAAAGTGGCGCCTGTGCAATAAGGAATTCCGATTATGAGCGCCCGCCGCATATATAATTAATTCTAGAAAAACTTAACTACGATGACAATCGGAAATATTAGATTTACTGGAAGTACATTTGTTCCGCCTGAATCATCTATTTTATATTAGTCCCCGAGAAGAAGGAAGCGGAAAAGAAACAAATTTATTCTATTCTAAAATTAATTCTAAGAAATCTCATCCTGGGCAGAAAATAATTTTAATTTGATTTTTTCCACGTATAAAATATATATTGTAAAAAGAAAATAACGTTTACCAAATTTCAGATTTATAAAAATGTAATTTACAATTAATAACACACAATGCCAAATAATTGCGTATTTAATTTATATTTACTTCCCATACAGCACAGAATTTGCAGCAATATCGCTGCAAAATTTTTGCAATATTGCTGCAACATGCAATGTTGCTATAACTTTTGTGCAACTTTGTTACTGATATATAGGATTATGTAACATAATATAAACATAATATTAATATAAAATACATTAAATAGGAAGTACGTATAATATCTATTTATTACTTCAGACCTTGACAGAATCTAATAAATCTGACGAAGTGTTGCAAAAGACTATTTAATTGCATATTAATTGATAGTCAATAGTGATTTACGTAAAAAAGCCTTTAAAATGCAAATGTATCATAGATATTGCATCGTTACTGAGAAAACAAATGTGATTAATATATGTATTAATTTAATTTTTTTGCATTTGGTTATTCACCTGTCAAGATGACGCACTTGATAGTTATCATATCTTTGAGTTCTGAGTTTCCTCGAGGATTTCTACGTTTTCTCGTAAAACGAGTTAGCGTAATTTTAATCAATATGGAGAAAAGAATCACGTACAAATATTGTACGTGACTTATACTTAAATCAATAAATATTAGACAAGAGAAACTAGAAAGAAAAAAAACGTTGAAAAATTTTAAGTTTTACTAAATAATAGTAAAATTTACAATTTTTTCAACTTAAAAAGATGTAATTATTTTACTTATTATTGAAAAATGCAAAATTTAAGGAATGGTGTTTACTCTTCTAGCATTTACTGTTTACTATCTTCTCTTCTAGCATTGTAATAACAAAAAGGCTTCCGCAAAGACAAGTAGGTTTATTTTTTCCGTATGAAAGGAAGAAAAGAGCATTTTTCGTGAAAGTTAGCAAAGCAATGGAAATATTCGAAGTAATCATCATTCGCGAGGAGATGATTTCGCCATCGTTATTAGAAGCCGCGAAAGATGACTTTTAAAATGATAATCCGCGCAGTAATTGTTCAAACAAATAATACATAAATATTTCAAATTATTTGCCAATTAATCTACTATGAAAAAAAAAATTGAATTTTTGCCTTATTTATTTGATTCATCAATTATAAAATTATTCATTTTTAATTTTTATATTGTGTCATCAAACGTTATGTATCACAAACTATATTTTATTATGACCGTTTTATTATTTATTATTATTAAAATGAACATTGAAATCAATGTGTTTATGTCTTTTTTCTTTTTATTTAATAAAATTGTTAATTCATATATTGTTTTTTTTTTTTATTATTTATTTATGCCATAATTATTAGGTATACTATAATATATTCAGCCAAATTATCCGGGACCCATTTTCCGTATGTTTTGTGCGGGATCCTTTGTTATATATAAAAATTAATTCTGAAAATTGTAACTAAGTAATTTATTATTAAAAATATTTAATAAAGGACCCCGCACTAATTTTATGTAAAATGAATCCCAGTCAAATTGGCTGAAATTTTATTATAATGTAGATCAGGATGTCCTGATGGGCACAAGGTCCAAAAATAGACGGTTTTCGAGATAAGTTGGATGTCAAATATTGGAAATTGGCTAAAAAAAAAAATCCAACATTTGATTTGTAATATCTCGAAAACTGTCCATTTTTGGATCTTGTGCCCATGAGGATTTTTGATCAGAACATCATGATCTACATTATAGTAAAATTTCAGTGAATTCGACTAGGATCCATTTTACATAAGATTTGCGCGGGGTCCTTTAATCGGAAATATAAAAATATTAATTCTAAATATATCAATACATTATTGTTATTTTATTTCCTTAAATTATGTCATTACATTATTCATTATATTTACATTATTCATAGTTATCAATATGCTTGACAGATTCATTATCGGCTGTGACAATTATTATTCAAAGTGCAAAGGGTTAAACAGTAATGGCTGCACACTCGCCCATAAAACGGTTGCACAATAAAGCGGAATCATCGCGGAAGGCACGCGCGATCTGGACTTTACGCGTGTTCTTGCGTGAGGCATGCGTGCAAGCTCTTCCATATATAAATACTCGTGTGTCAGTGGGAAAATCTCAGTCGGCCGATACTTGGTGCCTGTGTAGCTCTTCTCTCATCCAGCTACCACTGTTCAAAAGTTCACCACGTGATTTTCTTGCTTCTCGAAGGGAACAAAATTTCAAAAAGGAAGAAGAGAAGATATTTCACCTTTCAAGCAAACCCAAGTTTATTGTGCTAACATCTTTTTTCTTTAGAAAAGAAGCATGAAGATAAATTTATAAAGCAAAGAAAATCTAAAAAATAAATCAATAAAGCAGAGAAAAATCTAAAAAGAAAAAGAATCTCTTCAGTTTTCTGAAAGCGTGGTGATTTCGTTCTTAAAAAGACGCAACAAGAAGAATTTTTTATCCTTCCTGTGTTCTTGATATCTTCAGTTTGATCTAATATAACGTAATTCTTGAGTAAAAGAATCAATGGGACCAAGATCTTGCAAGTTCAGTAATCAATAACAATCAATTTGTTGAGGATCATAGATCAATTCAGCATCGAGTACGGTTCTCAGTAAAAAAATCCAAGTTTTGAGTTTACTTTGCAATTAGGAAATCAGCTAAGACCAATAATGAAAGGCAGACCAAGGGGATCGCTTCTAAGACTCTTGATTCTCATCCTGACGACGGTGGATCAGATGATGGTAATCTTGACAGCTCATCCCGGCGGTCATTATCATCGAGTCTCGAGGAGGATCCATCTGCCACGTGCGATGGAAGCTACCAAGAAGTTTCTCTGCAGAGAACCCCAATCGAGAGCTTACAATCTGAGGGATCTGGTGCACAGTATGCAACCAAGCGAGAGTGTGAATCAACCAGTGTACATTGTGGTGAAGAAGTGCGACAGCCACTCAGGCTGCTGCGTTAGCCCCGATCTCAGCTGCGCGCCGGTACAGTCGTCGATCTATCACGAGGACATGGAGGTCGAGGTTTGGAGTCTGTTGACGAATAGCACGAGGAGAGTATGGATTAGGATCGAACAGCATGGTAGGTGCAGCTGCGAGATCAGTAGTGCTAGTGAGAGACTTAGAGAAGACACTCGGCCACCTAGTATACAGATTCTTTGATCCTTGAAGTTTCTTGGATCCTAGATTCAGCACTGAAGCAGAGAACTGCAAGTAGATCGATCAGTAGTTGGCTGATTATCCTGCATTTCGATCGACACGCTGTGCTGGAAGAAGAATAACGTGGAGTGTCAATTGAAGTTGATTACTCAAGACTGGGATTCATTTTTTTAAATTTCTATTTGTGTACACTTTAATTTCTTAAGGTTTCCTTAAAATTGCATGTCGTGGTAGAACGGAGATTAAAGATGCGACAACACTAATTTGCTCGCTAAGAATTTTTAATATACAGTGCAATATTATAAAAAAACTGATATAAAGTGTTGATAAATGTATTTGTCAATTGTAGTTGAGAGACTGAGAACAGCTTTTATAATTAATACTCGACTTATCCGTTTACGGCTACATGATGGCAGAAAACAAGAAGCGATAAAGTGAAATTAGCAGACACTATACGGACTGTAAATTAGCTTAATTAACAAGTCTAATTAATAAATTAAGAATAGAAAATACAAAAAAAATCGCTCAATAAGTGATTGTGATTGTGAAGGATTATGTCATGAAGAATACAAAAATCATTATTTGGATGCGCGAGAAAAAGGAAACGAACCAAATAGGTAAATTTAAGAATTTAAAGATCCAATTTCGGTGACTAGTTTTCCGAAAAAAAAACTTCGATCCTTCAGTCGACGAAGATTTATATGTTTTATATATAAATACCTTATACAGACATCTATTTTTATTGAGGACCTCTATCTCTTGGTGATATCTTTCAATATTAACGTATTTATTATATTTCAAACCGTGCCAAACTTCTTTTTTATGCAATTTAGTGTGATAGAATAAATTTAAGAGCATTAGAATATCCCATTGGATATAAAAAATAAGCCTTTTAATATAACGCATGTTATATTTCTTTCTTGTGAATATTCTAAACATCCAAGATGTTCTATCTAAGTGATTACACGAAGTGAAGCTTAGCGACGATTATTATATTTTTAGCTGCCTCAAAGATTGTGATCGTGAATAGTTTAGAGACACTTAGAACTACTTTCAACCCTTTCGCCTACAACATCGTGTGAGACTCGTGATAAGGAAATCGGGCAAAACATGAGTATTACGGATGAGAACCGTGGTACGTCGTTCGTACAAAGCTTAATTTTTTTAATTTTTAAGAGAAAAGGGTTCATCGACATTGTGATACAAAGATCATATCAATTTGTAGTGATAATACCAAGTTTTAAAGTGAGATATACGTTGGTTCCAGCTACTCTTTTCATGTATTCACATTCGCGTTTTCAACGTGATCTTTACATGAAAATAATAACGTCGCGAAGCTAACAGCCACGTTAAATATAACTTCGCTATATATTTGCTAAATGCGATACTGTTCGTGCGAGTTCGTGGAGTTTACATTAGTTAAACAAAGTCCAGACGCAGCGGAAATAACTGCGTCTGTATGTAAATAGTTTTATACAAGGAGCGCGTGCCGTAAAATATTATAGTACTTCAAGAATAAAAAATAAGAAAGACTTTTTTGCGTCATAAGCGATTTTTTTACAAGTTTAACTTGTGTAAATAAGCAATGAATTTTTTAATACTTATTTTATCTCGAATAGATTTATACATTAAATAAGAAAAATTAAGTAATCGCGACTGTTATATAAGACGTAAAAAAGGACGTTTTATAATTTTGTCTGCAATACAGTATTTTGACAGTTTTAAATTTAACGCAATTTTAGAAAGCTAACCATTCGTATTATAATTAATTTATTTATTGATGATTATTTAATGTAGTAAAATAATAGTAAAATAATAACAGAAAATTGCGATCGATGTAAAATCAATGTGTCGAAAGGATTCAACAGTATTCTTGTAGCATCTAATTAGCAATTAATGAACTCGAATATTATTTAATTTTTGTATTAATTAATTTTTATATATCAAATAATTTATGAAAGACAAAACAATGAAAAAATGTTTATATAAAAATAAATTGCAGCTTTGGCTATTTTTATACTAATTCGTATAAATTTATTTCTACATATGTATATTTGTTACCTATATCTTTAATCTTTTTATTTAAATTTTTATTTCAGATAAAATAATTTCGACTGTTTTTCACTGAATCTTTTTAGACTTTCGTTCAATATTATTTTCGTAGGAAAAATTAATGATTTTTTCGTTTAAAGATTTCAAAAGAAGAAATAAGTAAAACATCTTATAAAATATAAGATTTGAAAAATTATAATAACTTTTACATTATAAAATTATTATAAATATCAAAGTTAATTCTTTATATATTTGAGAAAAATTGGTAAGTTTATAATTTTTTTTTCCATTCTCGAGAGAAGCTGGTATTAATTTTCAATTTTCACGACAGTTATTTTGTTATTAACTGTATCGCTTATCCGCCTGTCTACGAAAGACAAAAATAGCAAAACAATACGTATTCTCGATTTAGCGCGCAGACGTGTGAAAAGAATTGGACTGACGCCCAAATGAGAGCCAGCGGCGCCGTTAACGCCAACGCTCACAGACACTTTTTCTAAAATCAATCTTGAAAAAAAAAATCGTTAATTTGCGTACAATGAATGAAACTCGAATCACATACAAGTATTGTGTACAAATTATATAATATATTGTTTACTAAATGCATTTAATTTTGTACTGCATAAACACTTTAAAAACAATCTTTTTGGGATCGTCGATTAAAATAGATTTCAAAATGAATAAATCAAACTCGAAAAAGAAATAGAAATCTAACTTTGTTTTTTTAATTCTAAAATTTATTACTTTCTTATAATATTTTTAAAATAACAAAATTATTACAAAATCCTTTCCAACCCTTAAATCTTTATTTAAAAAAAAATCACTTTTTTAATTTTTCTTAGAATCTATTGATATATCATATTATTCTATATCTAGAACAAATATGAAAAAATGATACTTTTTTTTTCAACCGATTATAGGAACGTTAAAACATTTATTACATAAATGAATGAATCAGTTTACTGACGTTTAACATAACTGTGTGTTCGATAATATAAACTACATAGAATGTCTGGCGAATATAAGACGTACATTAGGCAGAGGAGATGCTGTGCGATATTACGAATATCGGGCATAAGGATATTTCGAACGCATTCGTCGGCCTCGTGTCCCTCGTCCTCGTCCCCCCTCATTGGCGGCCCCTCTAGCCGCATGTCCTCGCATTACAGGCTGTCCTTTAGAAATTAAAATGTTCCATGTTAACATTTATACATAAAACTTTTACAAAGTATTTTGAATATAAAAAATTATCTAAATTAGAGAGAGAGAGAGAGAGAGAGAGAGAGAGAGAGAAAGAGAAAGAGAGAGAGAGAGAGAGAGAGATGTTAAGCTAAACTTTTTAAAATAATTAGAATCTGATCGAAACTTTTGCCG